TTTTGTTAATTTTGTATTTTTTTTTTTTTTTTTCAAGATGATTTGAAGAATGTACATATTTTTGTTTATCCCTGTTGTTTTAATAAAAAAAAACAATTGGATAAAATTTTAATGCAAAGTTAATTGAAATAGCATTTACATTAAAAGTTATGCTGAAAAAGAAGAAGAAAAATAATCACACAGTTTAATTTTGCAGGTTGAGAGTTCAATCCGCGCGGTTTGCCCCCCGAGTTACATTTTACGCAAATGTCTCGTTAAAAATATGAAAACTTTTGCGTACATCAGTCCAATTATATCCAACGCTAATTTTGTCGTTTCATCAATTTAATTAAAATTACGCGAAAAAAACATTGTTCCCTTTTATATTTTCAACTACGTACTGTATGTTGTGAAACACAAAAACATAGCCAAGTGATTGTAAAAAAGGTAAAAAAAATGACACAATTAAAAAAAAAAAAAAAGAAAAAGAAAAAAAAATGCGCCTCTCCCTCGTATCATACAATTAAATTTTTCGGATCGAAGATGATACGCGCGATGAGTGAGAATTAAACCGGCCTTGCGATAAAGCCCAATTAGACACAAGCGCGCGCGTGCCTTTTGTATAGCCAATAGACACAACGTTGAATCGATAAACCAGCGAGTCCCGTGTTTCAGACTGTGGCTGGCGCTGTCGTGTTCCGTGGCGTTGTCCGCGTCGCTGCCCGACGAGTACGAGACGGTGCGCACGAGCAACGCGGCTATCCTAAACCGTCTGGGCCTGGTGGCCCTGGGCCCAACCGCCGACGGCCACCACCGCAAACGCCTGGCCGAGTCCTTACAGCCCCACGGCTACGGCAGGCGCCACGGCGGCTCGGCCCACGACAGCCACGTGTACGTGGTGAAGCTGCCCCCGAGCCCGCCCTACTACAGCCACTCCAGGCCGCACGGCCTCGACAAAAACCTCACCCTGGCCAAGCCGGGCTTCAAGGGCAACGGCAAACCCGCCAAGATCTTCCACTGGAACCTGCCCCTCGTCAAGAAGATCAACGACAAGAAGAAGCACGCGGCCCTCGCCAGGATGGAGCTGGCGAGGAGGCGGCTCGAGGCGGACAACCACCGGCTCAAGGTCGCCGACAAGATGAGCTACTTCAAGAAGCTGGCGCAGGAGCAGCTCGTGCCTGCCAAGCCTACCAGGAACAACGACAAGTGGCTCAGCGACCTAGAGAAGGTCGAGCCGAGGTATGTTACATATTTGGCGGATTATGGTGTGCCCAATGGATTGGCTTTTTTTTTTTTTTTTTCAATTTTTGAGCATCAAGTATACACGAGGGTGATTCCAGTTCGAATTTCAGTGTTTTCACTCTAGTGGTTCGTGAAGAAAAAACACAGGTTTTTTTTTTTTACGGTAACTTTTTTCATGAGACGAATTAGTGGATTGCAATGAAATGCAGTTTTTTTATTTTTTTTTTTATTTTACATTTTTTTCTTCATAATGCTAAATAGGTACAAAAGCAGCGAAAAAATCGGTTTTTGCCCACGGAAGAAAGAAATTAAAATTTCACAAAAATTACGAAACTCATTAAAAAAAAAAATTTTTTTTTTTGTTCAGTAGTTGTTTTTGGAAAAAAAAAACCGGTTCAAAAAGGCAAAAAATTTGTTTTATAGCTTTTAACTTTTCTACATTTGCATTTTTGGCCAAAATGTTGAGTACAAAAATTGTAGATTTTATAACAAATACACTTTTTTTTTGTACCGATCACTTTCATCAATATTGTCCTAAACTCTTTAAAAACAAAAAAAAATCGTTTTATAGCATATTAATTTTTCACGTATGATGTGCGGATAAAATAATAGTTTAAAATACAAAACTTCGATACACGTTTATTGCCTTTGCCATTTTTACGTCCACATAATATCTTCCCAACTTGTCTTGAAATACCCGAAAAATCACTTAATTTTCTTATTTGAGATTCACCAACAAACCACCAATGTTAAATATATTATATCAGAATATAAATTAAATCTATAAAAAAATAGTGTCAGCTCCAATTAATGTCACACTTCCGGCGCGAGACGTTTGCTGGTAATTTTAAGACGTAAAATTTACTTTCAGGATCGAGAGCACCGGCAACGCCACGCAGCTGAAGATCCTGTCCCTGTCCAACGAAAAGTCGTACCGGTTGGCCAACGATCTCAAAGCCGAGAAGGAGACGTCGCGGGGCCACCACCGCCAGCACCAAAACTTCAACAACTGGCACGACACCTCGACCAACAACGACGTCCAATTGCCGCAGCAGAGCTCCCGCAACGCCCTCACGGCGGAATTTAACGGGGCGCAGCAACAACACCCCAAGAAGCACAGGAAAAAATCGGCGGGCGTGTCGTACTATTACGCCCCGGCCCTGACCGGCAAGTCGGCCTCGACCAGCATCAGCAAACACTTCCCCGGCAACGGCAAGCCCAAGGCCTTTTACGTTATGGAGAAGAGTCGGAAGCCCGTTTATTACCATCCCCTGCTACCGTAAGAACTTTGTGTGCGCGTATACGCATCCAGCGTCTCGTATACTTGCTGGCTTCTTCTTTTCCTTTTTTCCACTGCAGCTATCATTACTATTATTAGTCCCTGTGCCGAGTTTACATTTTTTTTAAACCGCTCGGTACACGGATGGCGAAATTGTCACGGGAAAATTCGAGGATCGGTGCTATATTTTTTGAACAAAAGTGTACAATCGTTAAATTTCTTCCCTCGTTTGCGAAAACCTAAAATGGTAATTTTTGTTCGTGTCGAAGCGCCGAGTTGTTTTTGTATTACTATTATATGTGTACTTGAGATGGGATTACATTGGGATCATGCAGGGTAGCATACGATTATATATTACATCTCATCACGCATAGATATAAGATTTTCTTTTTAGTTTTTCATTGAATGTACTTAGCATTAATCTCATCGTTTTTCAAACAACAATTGTTTCCGAAATAAATACTGTTTTTTTTTTTACAAGCCACTCGAACTTTTCTAACGATATACAATTATCTCGTGCATCAATTTTCTCCGTCAAATGCGATATTTCTTGAAAAGACTGAAAAACACCGCTATGCATAAATATACATATATATATATTTTACTAACTGTAACGATCGATCATTTATAATTATCATATACGTATTTACCTTCGAAAGATTTTACTGTCGAATTATGTATAACGATACCGATTAACACAACTAATATGTGTACGTATGGATAATCAGATGTACGTAGGTGCGAAAGAATGCGAGACTCCGAAGAATGCGACGGTATGCCTGACTTTGGAAAAAAATCCTTCGGACAAGAAAAACCTTTTTTTTTTTTTTATATACCTTTATACGTGTACTACTGCGAGTTTCCTATATGTATAATAAATAAAATTGAAAAAAAAAGTACTTATACGTTGAAAGCTCTCTTGTGAAGAAAGAAAGAAAGAAAGAAAAAAAAAAATCATGCGTCCCTTTCGTGAATCACCGATAACTCGATAACGAGCCCCTTTACCTTTTTTTACCCGTTTGCGTTGAGAACCCCTGCCACGAGAGATAAAATCTATATATAGCTGACGAGTCCTTACGCGTATACATTCCACACCACGGCAGAAGAAGAAGAGGATGGAGAAAGGATGTATCTCGCACCTTGGAGGCACATCACGTGCATTTTTCGGTAATTACAGCTCCCCCCCCCTTATTCTCCTCTCTCTGCTCATTACATGCAGTATATTAACAATGTGGATCGGTACGAAAATCGGTGCACGAGTGGATTACTCTTCTTCCCGCACGATAAAACAAATATATAGTGTATACGCACGAGGAGGTTTCTTTTTTTTTTTCTCAAACGATCCAAATGCAGATTTATTGTTTCTTTATTATAACTATATTTCAACTATTGTTCTCGCACATTTTTTTCATGTGTATAAAATCGTCGTATTTACAGCGCAGCTCGCAGTTACAATGTTACAACAAATAAATATATGTATATAAACATCGACGCACACCTAAGGTCGAGCCGAGGTATGTTACATATTTGGCGGATTATGGTGTGCCCAATGGATTGGCTTTTTTTTTTTTTTTTTTCAATTTTTGAGCATCAAGTATACACGAGGGTGATTCCAGTTCGAATTTCAGTGTTTTCACTCTAGTGGTTCGTGAAGAAAAAACACAGGTTTTTTTTTTTTACGGTAACTTTTTTCATGAGACGAATTAGTGGATTGCAATGAAATGCAGTTTTTTTATTTTTTTTTTTATTTTACATTTTTTTCTTCATAATGCTAAATAGGTACAAAAGCAGCGAAAAAATCGGTTTTTGCCCACGGAAGAAAGAAATTAAAATTTCACAAAAATTACGAAACTCATTAAAAAAAAAAATTTTTTTTTTTGTTCAGTAGTTGTTTTTGGAAAAAAAAAACCGGTTCAAAAAGGCAAAAAATTTGTTTTATAGCTTTTAACTTTTCTACATTTGCATTTTTGGCCAAAATGTTGAGTACAAAAATTGTAGATTTTATAACAAATACACTTTTTTTTTGTACCGATCACTTTCATCAATATTGTCCTAAACTCTTTAAAAACAAAAAAAAATCGTTTTATAGCATATTAATTTTTCACGTATGATGTGCGGATAAAATAATAGTTTAAAATACAAAACTTCGATACACGTTTATTGCCTTTGCCATTTTTACGTCCACATAATATCTTCCCAACTTGTCTTGAAATACCCGAAAAATCACTTAATTTTCTTATTTGAGATTCACCAACAAACCACCAATGTTAAATATATTATATCAGAATATAAATTAAATCTATAANATTTAAGAAAAACTTTGAAAGTGTACTGAAGACTATGAAATCCTGATGACTTTGAAGTTTCCCAAAGTCTTTAAAATTCGACTAGTCTCCAAGGTCACAAAAAGTTTTCAAAGGTCTTTGAAAATTTAAGAAAAACTTTGAAAGTGTACTGAAGACTATGAAATCCTGATGACTTTGAAGTTTCCCAAAGTCTTTAAAATTCGACTAGTCTCCAAGGTCACAAAAAGTTTTCAAAGGTCTTTGAAAATTTAAGAAAAACTTTGAAAGTGTACTGAAGACTATGAAATCCTGATGACTTTGAAGTTTCCCAAAGTCTTTAAAATTCGACTAGTCTCCAAGGTCACAAAAAGTTTTCAAAGGTCTTTGAAAATTTAAGAAAAACTTTGAAAGTGTACTGAAGACTATGAAATCCTGATGACTTTGAAGTTTCCCAAAGTCTTTAAAATTCGACTAGTCTCCAAGGTCACAAAAAGTTTTCAAAGGTCTTTGAAAATTTAAGAAAAACTTTGAAAGTGTACTGAAGACTATGAAATCCTGATGACTTTGAAGTTTCCCAAAGTCTTTAAAATTCGACTAGTCTCCAAGGTCACAAAAAGTTTTCAAAGGTCTTTGAAAATTTAAGAAAAACTTTGAAAGTGTACTGAAGACTATGAAATCCTGATGACTTTGAAGTTTCCCAAAGTCTTTAAAATTCGACTAGTCTCCAAGGTCACAAAAAGTTTTCAAAGGTCTTTGAAAATTTAAGAAAAACTTTGAAAGTGTACTGAAGACTATGAAATCCTGATGACTTTGAAGTTTCCCAAAGTCTTTAAAATTCGACTAGTCTCCAAGGTCACAAAAAGTTTTCAAAGGTCTTTGAAAATTTAAGAAAAACTTTGAAAGTGTACTGAAGACTATGAAATCCTGATGACTTTGAAGTTTCCCAAAGTCTTTAAAATTCGACTAGTCTCCAAGGTCACAAAAAGTTTTCAAAGGTCTTTGAAAATTTAAGAAAAACTTTGAAAGTGTACTGAAGACTATGAAATCCTGATGACTTTGAAGTTTCCCAAAGTCTTTAAAACTAAAAAAATCACGTCAAGACTTCAAAGTCATTTGGAATCACATAAAATACGTAAAAGTTTTGGAAAGTTTACCAAAAGATACCAAAGCTCATCAATTATTCTAAATCCATTTGAAATTTTGATGATCCTCGAAAAGTCCCAAAAAGTTTCCCGAAGTGAAAACATTTACGTATTACTAAAAAAAAAACCTTCAAAGTCACCCAAGACTTGACAGGTTTTCCAAAGTCTCTCGAAGAATGTGCAAAAAAGTCTCGAAAAAACAAGTACACACCTGAAAACTCCGTTTGTTGCCCGACTGGTCGTACAAGCCCTTGACCTTCCACTCGGACTGGCTCTGTTCACCGGTCCCCTGTGAGCCCCTCGAGCCCTGTACAAAAAACATACCAACAATCTCAAACCGATCCCTGCCACTCGTAATTGATAAAAAAAAAAAAAAAAAAAAAAAAGGAGACACATTACGCCCTTGTTCAGCATCCTCATCCTGTTCCGACTCTTCCCCGGTCCGCCGGAGCTAAGGTGTTGATCGCCGTGACCAATCCGTACGTTTCGATCGTCGGTGGCCCTCACGATCCGCCCGGTTGTTGCAGCGTAGCTGCAGTTGACAGCAACGCCGAGCACAAGCATCGCCACGAGGAGCAATCGGGCCGTCATGTTTGCCTAGGAGAACCGGCAATCGATTACCCAAGCCTCCACCGATATAGCCCTCGCCTGTGGTCATGTATATTTACGACCGATCGGATACGCGTCGCGTTTTAAATTAGAGGCTTGTCCGATCGCGCATTAATATAATATCTCTCAAGGTGTATGTGCACGCGATGGGGGAATGTTGTTGGGCGATGAGTGCTCGTGGATGTGATGATCATGATGATGAGTGTAATGACACGCGGGAGGCTGTACTTGTGTCGATGGCAATTTAGATGCGCACCTTTCTTTTTTTCTTCCCCGTTTGGCTGTGGCGATCGAGTTTCGATCCTTATCGGCGTTGATTAAATTCTTCGCTGATTCAGAGCCCCCCCCCCCCCCAAGAGAGTTGCTCATGACAAAGTACATACGTATGGCTTTTTCAGTTTTTACATTTTTTTTCAAGTGTAATTTATTGCTAAAAGTGTCAGTACCAAGTTGTTGTTACCAACTCACTACCGATTATACACACCGATTGCGTCATACGGAGCGGAAAAAGAATATAT